TGCGCCCGCCGGTTCGTGCTGCCGCTTCCTTGCTCCCCTGGGGCTGTTTGTGTGGGACCCGGGGCTCGCCTGTGAAGGCCCGGGGCTGGGGCAGTGACCTGTCCTTTCTCCCCTCCTTTTCCTTGGGGTCTTGCGGTGACCGGTCAGCTGTGGCAGGCCCGGGGCAGGGAGGAAAGCTTCGTGTGGCTCAGTTGCAGGTGACATCAGGTGCCCTCCTAGACACAGGTTGACTGTAGCCATGGGAATAGCCGCTGTGGGGCAAAAAAGCCACAGTGTGCCCAGCAGAGCAGCCAGACATGAGTAAGATGTGTCCCTGTGGGGCCCTGCTGGGCGGCAGTGTCATGCCCATGTGAGGACAAGGCCTTGGGAGTGGGGTGGTGGTTGCAGGCCTTGATGGCTGAGGGCCCAGGCTGTGCAGCAGGACGGACTGCGGCAGCTTCCGTGAGAGGGAAGGTTGGGTGCCCCATAATAGCTTTAAGGTAGGGGTTTACTGGAGAAAGCAAGGGGCTGGTATGGCATATTGCTGTTCCGGTAAGGTTAGGGGGACCTCCTCAGTACTGAACTGCACTGTTGGCTTTGGTAGAGGCTGGGCATGCAGAGGTTCAGCTGTGTGACTGGGCTTACATTCTTCCTGGAAGGTGGGAAGTGCCATAGGTTGGTGGTGAAGCTTGTGCTCACTCCCAATAGTAGCTGTTAGGAGCTTATCATGCCTGTGAGAAAGAAAAAATAAAACTTTTAAAATAAGCATTAAAATGTTATGTTGTTGTGTTGTTGTTTTGTTTAATTCTCTATTTTTGTTGTAATCCACATTTGAAAGTCAGAGGGTGGGGTGAAGTTGTGCTTAAAAATACTGTCTTGTGATCTTTGTTGTATGTGTGAGACCTGGTGTCCACCTCAATTTCTCAGGAGAACCTATGCAAATTATGGGCTTACATGCTGATGCTTTCTCTGCCTTTTTTTTTGTTGTTTTTTTTGCCTTCCGCCCTGAAACGTCTGGTACTGTGTTTGACAGGGGTCTATATCTTCCCCCAAATAGCCAAATTTTGTGGATGCCGGTGGGCTGGAAGAGAGACACCCTAGTTGCGCTTCCAGAAGGACAAGGCTGTAGTGTTAACTTACATCCTACAGGACATGACACAGGGAATCTGAGAGCAACTTTGGCCATAAGTATCAACCGTGTAAAGCACTGTTGCTGGTGCTGTTGAACCAGAAGACAAAACCCAATGAGTGTTTAGTATTTGAAGTTGTGATATTTAGTGACAATCTTTTGTTTTTACATGGTCAGTGTTTATGGAATAAAAAATAAAATAAAACGTGAGTTTTAGTGGTCTGTAATTCAGAAGCAAATAAGGGAAGGAAAATAATGCTGCAACAAGACTGCAGCATGGAATTTGGGAGACTTGAATTGAGCTGTGTGCTTTACTCAGTACTTCAGTGGTTTTGAGCAGATGACCTGATTTTTTTATGCTTCCATCACTAATCTACAAAATGAAGAAAATGGCTTTCTTCTATTACCAGGAATATTGTGAAGATAAATACTTAAAAGGCTTTTAGGGACTTTAGTTTCAGCAGTGGAATTGTGTAAATACCTAAAACACTGCGTAGAAATAGAGAATTGCAAACTTCTGGATTTTTCACATAGTTATTGACTAATATAATGATTTTTGGAGCCCTGGTCCTTTCTATAGGATTATGTTAATGTTTTTAACTTTGTGGTCACTAGGATGTTATCCTGTACAGTTTCTGTTTTTAACAATCAAGCACTTAAGTCTTACAAGGAGTGACATTAATCTTCCTCTTGGCATGGATACATTAATTCTGACTCTTTGTTTTGACTTAACAGGAAATTGTGCATGTCTCTCTTGTCCAAGAGCTGCTGTATGCTTTTCTTCTTTGTCTATTGCTTTCAGAATACCTGATGCTGAAATGAAGGACAGGTGGCAGTAGCAAATGGTGAAGGTCCTGTCTTAGGTGACAAAACATAGGAAACAAGTTTGTGGAATATCCACAGAGCAGTTCTGAATGAATGTTAAGGCCTGCTTACAGTAGAAGGGATTTTTTAAATCTAAAAGCTACTTTACAGGCTCTTTGCTAGTTTTACAGATCAATATTTAATGCTTAGAGAACAAGTTATGAAAATAAAATATTTTTCTTTTCCAAAATGCATTTTAAATACTTGAAGATGCTGGTTTTATCTTATGTGAATCTGTGTCACAATGCTGGAAATAAGATCTAAAAAAAAAAAAAAAAAGTTGGAAAGCATTGCTGTGGAACAGTTACCTGAAATTACTCTTGATTGATTTCTTAATGTCAGGTAAACACTTCCTACTTTCCTTTCTAATTTGAGAACTTTGATTTTTGTGCAGAAGGATGATTTTAATTAAAATTTCTTTCTACTACACAGTCAAATTGCAATGAAAGCTGAAGTCCAAGAGTCTCATTTAATTTTTCTCTGAAGACAATCCTGCTTTACCAAACAGCCTTAAAGTAATTTCTTGTTTGTTGGGAATAACTTTTGTGTGTCCACTTGTCACGATCCGTGTTCTATTTTTTAATTTTCTGTTCTATTGTAGGAAGATATTTGATTTCTGCCCAGAAAGATCTGGCTTGAGCACATTAATTTTCTTTCATAGTGTGCAAGGCAGAGATTTGCAGTTCTGTCTCTCCTTGCTGGTATGTAAAAACGTGTATCACAGTCACAGTGAGGACAGGCATTTCCTTCTACCTCACATTTGTGAAGTACAGGCAAGAGCATAATCTTATTTTACTAGACACACTTAAGGGTTTTTTACTTTCAATCTAACATTAAGATAAATGTTGTCATAACACAGTATGTTTATGATACAGTGTCTGACTGAAACTTCTATTCTGCTGCATAATAACTTTGTAACGAGTAGAAATTTTCCAGGATAAGAATAACTTTAAGGTGTCCTTTTAATGGTGGAGTAACACAAACATGTAAAAGTACTTGTAGGTTTTTTCATTTCTGTTTTACCAATTTCAAGTAATTGAATGTTGTACAGCAGTATATGTCTTGCACTGACCACTGATTTCTGTATTTTGAAGTTGGGCCAAGAAATGACCAGTTTCATGTGATAATCCAACACACAGGCATAGTTTGTGTGTTGAATTATAAAGGAAACTGCAATTGGCTTGAGAGATTTCCTATTTTAGAATAATTTCAGTGTTTAGGAACTCAGCTGACTGACAGCTAATGGTCTTTATGGCATCTTCACTCAATAGAGAAAACACAGCTTTTGTGTGTTTGGAACAGGGCCTGGCTGTGCACTCTTTTACCAGACTTTGTTCATAGTTTAGGAGATCTCAACCTTATGTCTCAGATCCTAAGTTTCCTGTTTGGTCTTGAGTACATGACAAGTCTGTTTAACGTTCAAGGAAGCTGTGTCTGGATTTACACCCCCCCCCCCCCCCTTTTTTTTTTTTTTTTTTTACACCCCCCCCCCCCTTTTTATTTTTTTAACTGTGATCAGAAGTACTGCATCAGCACATTTAGTGAGCTTTCCTATAGCAATGCCTTAGACACTTTGGTGTGACTTCTTTTCACCAGCATGTAGTATCAAAACCAAGTTAGCAGTAGTGTTTGTGATGTGTTGCTCTCATCTCCTTTCTGAACATAAAATCAGGTGAGAGAGAGTATTTGAATAGCTGTAGTTTGGCAATATTGAGCGCATCTGTGTGACAGATCATCTGCAGGTGTGTGTGTTGGTAACATTGCTTTCCTAGGTCTTGATACTTTAAGTAGTGACATTGGGTAGTTTTCTGCTGAAGTAGGCAAAGTTGGCTTTCTCCCTTGGTTTTGGTTCACACACTTGAGAATTATGGTGTTCTTCACCAATCCTTCTCCCTCTGAAATTTGTGCCATGCTATTTTATAAAGGAGCTGCTGTTGCTGCCTTTTTCTTCTGAAACATCTAGTGCTAGGCATCTAAACTGTGTTCAATAATTAAATTAATTCCTGATCCTTAAAACAACGTGCAGTGTCATGTATGATCATGCTAGCTATATGAATTAGAGAGACTGTTTGCTTTTTTAGATTCCAAAGAGCTCTTGCAAAGCTGTAGAAATGCTAAGCCAACAGAACTCCTTCACAGCCCCTTTTCTGAAAAGGCTGGTGGACAATTGTGTGTGTATATTTTGCTTTCTACTTGAAAGACCTTAGTATACTAAGGATAATTACAGAAACATCTTTGGTTTTAGCATTATAAGTGTAACTGTCTTAATGTGATGCTTTTTGATAGTGCCAGTGCTTTTTGTTCACTACAAATTTATTTATTTCAGAGAAATGGCAGAAGAAGGTATATTTTGTGATCTCCTGGAAATCCTGATAAGTGCCTCAAGTGAAATTGAGCAGGCCTGCAAGGACTCCAATGAATTGGTAGATTTAGACACCTGCCTGCTGCTCATAGCAGAGTGTTTCAGATGTCTGAGGAATGCCTGTGTTGAGTGTGCCAAGAATCAACATGTCATGAGGTATAGTTATGATATCTTTTAACCCATATAAAAATACAACCTTCTGATGTTTTTTTGGTTTTATATAGAGATTCTTATTTTACACTGCTGTGTTACTTGATTTATTAACTGATACTTCCTGCTTGATGCAATCACTTCAAATGAAGTATGCAAAGAACAAAAATAGCTGATCTATTTGTAGGTCAGAGTTTGGGGCACTGCTGAATAATAGCACAAAGTGTTTGTATCCTTAGTACGAGTTGAATTATGCAAACATTATAAGCCTTTTCAAAGTCTGACTGTAAAGCTATCCTTTTTTCTCTTAATTTTTTTATAACAATAAGTAAATTGTCTTAATTATCAGTTACAGGATTAGTATGTTTTTTCAAGGCACATTCAGATCTGTCTGGCACTTGTGGCAAAGTATAGTGTGTAGAAATGTATATATCAACCGTGACACATATACAGGTAAACTGATATTAATGGATAATAAGAAGTGAACCTGGCTACTTAAGTGATTTAACCTCTCTTTTTTGCCCATGTCAGTTGCAATGCTGAAGGGATGCTTGGGATACAAACAGCTCTAGATACTGAGAACCTGGTACTACACCTTTTGTTTTTTAAATAAAACCAACAACAAACTGCCCCTGTCCCCAAGAACCCATAACAAACTAACCAACCAGAAAAACACAACATACCCAACCTGTTACAAGTTGGTTAGATTATGAAGAATTGTTGTGGAGTTGGGTTTCTTGGGACTTGTCAAATTTGGTTTATTAAACTAAATATAATTTTAACATGGGACAAAGTTGCGGCTTTCATGCTGGGGGCAGAATGTTGTTAATGCCACAAAAGTTGCAGGACATCTCATAGAAGGCATTATTTTTTAATAACATGAATCTGAATTCAGACTCTGACCTTTTTATTCTAGACAGGGCTAGCACTGGTGATCATGTTGTGGGTCAAGGAAATGATCTGACAGAAAATATATGTGCTTATTTATAATTTTTTTGCTGGGTGGAGGTTCAGCCAGACTGGGTTCCTTATGGTTACTTACTTTAGCTCCATAATGACTCATGTTAACAAAATGGGGGAACAGAATTGTGTGGCTGGGAGTTTTCAGTAGCCTGACAAATACAACCTCACTGTGGAAATCTCAATTCCATTAGAAAGTAAAAAACCCCTAGTTTTTACTTTCTAATGGAATTCAGATATCCAGCCTGCTTCTGAACAGAAATGTGCTTTGCACTGGTTACACCTCTATTGTGTACTTGTCCTCTCTAGCCAGTTTAGGAAGCTGGATGTGAAGAATTGTGCTTTCCTTTAGACTGCATGAGGAGGAAGGCCTGTGTGTATATTAAGTTCTGACCATGTTTGTAACAATGAAGGTCTCAGTTGAGTCACTGATTGGATTCTGTTTTGGCTTTGTAGCAGCATAACAATTTGTTCTCCTTTTAATACCTGACTGGGTGCTTTGAGCCTGCTCTATATTAGCCATATGTTTGTGTTGATTTTAAATGGTTGCTTCTTTAGGAACTAAATTTCCTGAATGATGAAAAGGTATGAATGGAAGGAAAATTATGTGCCTTTGATACTGCAGTGTGCAACATTCAGTTGTTAAAAAAAACAACAAGCCCCAAACCCCAAACTATAAATGGTTTTATCAAAATAAAAACTGTTTCTAGGAAAGAATGCAGAAAGTGTAAACACGTGGATTGCATAACAGCTTTTAAACAATTGGGGAATATGAAGCTTCGTTCCTTCTAGGGTCAGTTTTTTCCTTTGTGTGCTGTGAAGAAATTTGGGCTCTGAAGAAATAGGAAAAGTTTTTATTTTAATAGATTGTATGTATGCCTGTGTGTGTACTGTATATGTAGAAATGTACCTTTGGCTTCTCTTCTATGCTAGGACTTAATGGGAAAGAGCATATGTTTGTTTAGCAAACATCTACAGAAGACAATAATGCAGCATTCGTATGTGAGATTTTTTTAAGTAACTCATGCATGAGTTTGGAGGTTTGGTAGAGATGATGTTACTGTGTTACATTTCAGCCACTCTGTCTTGGCTGATCTCTTCTCAAAAAGCTTGACTAATTAAGTACTTATGAGTTAAAACCTGAAAATTTCATCCGTTGATACTGTATTCTTTGATTTTTTTATTATTTTTTTTTTACTCCTGTTGCATGCTCATTCAGGTATGTGTGTTGGCTGCCTCCAGGATGGCTTATCTTAGGCTGTAGAATTAATTTGGTGTTTTTTCTTCCAAATGGCTTCACTTATTATTTATCCTCAATTTTTTGATTTTTCCTCACTATCACCACATTTTTCTTGGTCCAAAAATGTTCAAGATCAGGTTAGATGGGGCTTTCAGCTACCTGGTCTGCTGGAAGATGTCCCTGCCTGTGGCAGGGACTGTAAAGGCCCTTCCAACCCAAACCCTACTGAGATTCTAATTATGATCCCTTCTCACTGAGAAAAAGATAATTGACTATCTGAGCTTCTCTGCTTCCCCTCCAAGAGTTTTGTATGCTTCCTTTTGAACTGACCCCATTGTTCATTTGATGTCAGAGACCAGTTACTTTATTGACATTTAAAATCTCAAAGTTTATTATTAATTAATGTACATTGCTAACTTTCCCTAAATACTTGAACTTCAAACAAAGCAAAGTTTTTACACAAATCATTTTAAACACCTGATTTAGAAGAATAGCAAAAAGAGAGGAAAGGGTATTTAGGTCTGAAGGTAGTGTCCAAGATTATACATATGCAGGCTAACATAGTAAACTTCCTTTTGCTTTTGATGGTAGTAGTGTGGCTACTGACTGTCAGGCACAGCTAAGTAGGGTAAACTGCTTTTTATTTCAGAGTTTCTGAAGATTTTAAAGACTTCAGTGAAAGGCCTTTTCTTTATATATTTCATATCAAGTGATTCTTTTTGTCTTTTCCCAATTTAATAATAGGAACTTGGGTCTCATCTCTACGTCTGTCCATTTGATCAAATTGCTTCATGGTATACAAATGAAAGAAGAATCGTTATTGACTGGTAAGGCTGTGGATTTTGATAAATATATAGCCTGCACTGTATATTTTTATGTAAGGAGTCTTGTGGTTGTCACTTTACTGATGCATTTTTTTGATAAATAAATGTTTCTTGAATTACAGTTAAGAATGGGGGGCTGGGGAGAGGGGGCACTCTTCTTATGCTGCTTGAAAAAAAATCTGGCCCCAAGCTAGTCCAATTGTATTTTTCCTCAACTGTTCCCTCTAGATTATTTAAGGAAAGATACATGGAGACTTATTTAAAATTAACCAGGATATTTGAATTGCGAAAAGGAAAACTTCCTGTAATACGTCCATTCCAAGTATGTTCTGCTGTTTTACTGTCTTTTTATTTGATCTACAGACATGATTAAATGAATTTTAATGACACTTGAAATTATTTATCTGATTCCAGGAAACAAATTTTGGCTGTGACTTTTTAAAAATTATTAAAAATATTTCATTTCTGTACTGTGGTTGCTGGTCAGTCTGCATAGTATCTACCAAGAGCTAAGTACTGATCTGACTAGTGTTCAGATTTCTTTAATGAGTTTTTTCTTTTCATGTGGTGCAGAAAAGATCTGGCTGTAGTATCCTTCCTCCATAATGGCAGTTATTGCTACTGATATCTACCAAACTCATTTCACTGGATAAGGTGTTTTCAGTAGTTCTCTTCACAAGATGGGTTTCCATGTGTGCACATATGGAGCTGGATACAGGGCACTGGACCCCAGTCTTTACTGTCTGTGGTTGCAGAGAGTAGGGAACATTTGGTTTCTTGTCACTTTTATTTCTTTTCACTCCCTTTACTTGGATGAGGTTTGAACTGAGTTCCTGTTGCTGCTTTTCTATAATTTTGTGAAAGAAATGAAACTACTGTCAAACAATAACTTGCCCTCAAACACCTCTATGAAGCTGGGAAAGAACAGTGAAGTCCAGGATACTGTTCTTCCTTTTGCTTCTATATTTGGCTCAAAATGAAGCCTTTCAGGCATATGGGGGTATTATGCTTAAGCCACATTCCCTCCTTCTCCCATTGCTGGAATGCTGCTTCAGGTAAGGATCACTGATGCTAGCATAGTCCTTCAGTGTGGGAGGACTAGAACTAAACCATGGAGGTGGCAAAAAAAGAGGGCTTGCTCAGTGACCATAAAGAGAAGGAACTGTTAGCACACACAAGTGATTCTCAATCTGTGTCATGGAGTTGGACAGGGAGAACTGGGAAAAGGCACGGAAGGCAAGAATGTCCCAGTCCCACAGTTGTGAGCTGCTTCGTAATCCAAGTAAGAGAAAAGAAGAAATGATGGGAACTAAAATGCTGGTTTTGTCCAGCCTGGCATTGTCCCTACCTAGGTGCTGGATAGCAGTGAGCTTGAAAGGCTGTCCTGGGAAAGGAGACTTCCCACCTTTCTCTTATTCAAAACATCAAGAATTACAGAGTGAGAATATCACCTTTTGGTGGTGCCTCCCAGCATATGAAGGAGAGTGATCAGGATGCACCTTGTTGGTTACATGTGTGGCCTGTGGTTCCCCCCTCAGTCTTGGGGCTGCTGACTAGTCCTTGATGGGTTGTCATATTCACGTGTGCTGTTCTTCTGCTTCTGGGATCTGAAGAAACAGCAGTGAATGTTACTCAGCAAAAAAGAGAGAGTGGAACCCAGTAATTTGGGTAACTGCTTCAGACTCCATTTCCTACCCAGCAGATGTTGTAAAATCTTATTATCACCACTGAACTTCCAGTGAGGCATTGACCAGAAAGCTTTTAACAGTATTTCAATAAGTGTTTTGTGACCATGACTCTACATAGGCATTCAACAAATGAGTTTGAATTATAACTTAAATTTTATATACAGACACAGAGTAGGTGGTTTGTTTGATGCTGTTGTAGTACTGATTTCATTGGGAAACATTTGTGATGATCATGGTTTAGCTATTCCATTTATGTTTAGTACAACCAAAAAAACAACTAGAAAAGAAAGTGTTTCTAATGTGTTGCTGAGTGATCTGGTGAACTTTGTTCTAAGTTAAATTAAGTTAGTGCCTAGAGCACCATCTCCTTGTCCTGGGTATGCCTCAGAAGTTAAAAGTTACATTTAACTGTATAGACTATTAATTGTACTTTCAAAAGCAAGGCAAATTGCTAAATTGGGCTTGGATAGCACTGTTGAAACAAAAGAAACCCATGAAATTAGTGAATGTTACTGTGTTTATTAAATATGTTTCTGCTTCCTGATTCTCCTTCTCACATTTCATATAGGAAATTGGGTCAGAAGGGTAGACTAGCATGTGCATTTTTTTCTAGCAGATAATTAGGTGTTAAGTGGAATATTTCAAGTTGTTGGATGTGTCCTGTTTCCTCTGTTAAATGGCTGCTTGGATTTGATGATCTCTCAGTGCCTGTTTATGTCCTTAAGGTATTTTCAATACCTTTATGTTACTTCCATAGCAACAAAATACAGGGATAAAGAGGTAAAGTGGTATTGCACAGTGAAAACCACTAATGTTTAAGTTCAGGTCCCTGTGAAAAATTCCCAGAGCAAATAATTGTAGGCTAAATAAATTTCAAGTTGCACCATTATAGTATTTATGAAGAAGAGATATTGAAAATTCTTTATGCATCTTGGTAACTGTTAAGACTGGTAAATCTCTGAGTGGTGTGGTAATTTTTGTAAGAAATTTCAGTGTAGTACAATTTGTAATGGATAAAGCAAAAAATGAAATAAGTATATAGTCTCTGGCCACTATTGTGACCAGTGTGGTGGTTTTAATAGAGGGGACAAACTGCCTTTCCTAGCAATATATTAGTGATCAAAGCAGCAAAAAAGGAGGTTCTGTGCAAAGTGATGCGATTAAAACTGTTGGTAAGATTTGTTCAATTAAATCCAGACTCCTTTGCATCTGCTTTGTTAGGATAAATACTTTTTTAATAGTTTATTTTAGGCCCAAGTGTTATACATGTAACTTAGCTTCTTAATTCACTATATTTTCTGAAACAACTTTACTGAAATTTTTTGGTTTATCTCTTTTTTTCATACTCTAAAAAGTTAGATTGATTCCTGTATGCTTGTAATGTACTTGTCCCAGCCAGCTGTGGAAAAGCTATTTTCTTTAGAGTACCTGATATGCCATGAAGGCAATAGGCCAGTAAACCTGAACATGAGTTATTATGTCTGTCCTGGAATAGTTCTTCAAAGCATACATTTAAAAATACCTAGTATTAGTATTTAAAAATACCTAGTACCTATTTAAAAATACCTAGATACATTTAAAAATAACTAGTTAATTCATACATGTGGCACATAAAGATGGTCCAACGCCACCTGCAAGTTAGTCATCCCTGTAATAATCTTTCTTTTTAATACTCACATTAAAAGAACATTTTTTGGCCTTTCCCATATGGTGTTGTTACAGGTAGCTGTTTGTCCCCACTCTTCCTCCCTTCTTACTTTGCAAGTTAGTTGCATGCCATAGCTTACTTACTCTTCTTGTAATTGCTTACAATAGATGGTTTTCTTGAGCAATTCATATTCTGTAATACTTAGGGAAGGGAACCTGCTCTAAGGAGTTGCACAGTGAAAGCCAACAGGTAAGATGAGTGTAGTGGGTTGATGGACAGTGATGTTTAACAATTTGTGGTCCTTCTTTTGGGCAGCATCAAGACTGATCTGTATCAGATAAGTCATACCTACTGGTAAATGTACTCTTATTTTCTAATTGCTGCAGAAGACCTCCCTCCCTCTCTCAGCAAGAGGTAGAACTTCCAAGTCAGCTAGAGAAAAATTCAAGTGCTACACTGCTTGGACAGTATCTGAAAACTGGACTTCACCTCAGTGTTCTTAAAACTATGCATACTGAAAATCTAGGAAATGTGTGATTGTGTAAGGAAACACTTAACATTTTAGATTACAGAATTTGGATATTCTTGTGGGAAGACAGAAGATGACAAATTCAGCACCTCTCTCCCCGGTTCAGAATTAATTTGAATAGGGATTGAAGATGCAGGAATTCTGTGAACTCTTGTGGAAATGCAACATACAAGAAGGTCCATTATGTTTCTTTGTGAACTGTTTTGAGACCACAGTCTTCCAACAAATAGCTCATGAGATACTCAGATTTTTACTTTGAGTCTTAGGAAAAAAACTTAATCTCTGCAGAATATAGATTTAATGGAATTTTCTTAGTATCCTCTCCATATTTCCTTTATTTAGTTATTTTTAATAAATAAATTTTTAAAAGCCTCATCATAGCAAACTCTTTTTTTTTTTTTTTTTTTACTGTGGGTACAAAGGCCAAGAACACTTGCCAGAGGAGCAGGCTTATGAAGCTGCCAGATGAACTTTAACTGAACTTAAAGCAAACCCAGATCTCTTTAAGAGTTAAGAAGTAGTTCAGTATGTGAAGGGTTGTAGCAGACATAGGAGATATCCTTGTCAGAAGCCCAAGCAGAAGATCTCCTTCACTTCATAGCATATGTCTTGGTTTGGTTGTGGGGCTGCTGTTTTGTTTGGGTTTTTTGTTTTTGTTTTTTCCCTTTTTCCTATGGTAAACCTTAAGCTTTTCTGCAGAATCTAGCAGGCCTTTGGGAAGGTACATTGAGGTTTGTCAAGATGATGGATCTTTAGATTCCAGAGTGTGAGATCTGGATTTAGGATTCACCTCTGAAATCTTGAAAAAACGAAACAGGTTGTTGTTTTTTTTCCTCCTTAATAAATTGCAGTGAAGCAAGTTTTTGAAGCAAGCTTATGTTCAGTAGACTGTGTCCCATCTGATCCTTTCATTGACTCCTAACCCCCACCCCATGCTAGACAGAAGGTGCTTTAATCTTTTTTGTTTGTAAATAGATCTCAAACCTTTCACCGCTTCAAAATATTGCCGATGTTGAAGAATGTGCTTTGAATTCCAACATAATTGCTTAAAAAGTATTTATCTGCCAACATACTTTTCTCTCCTTCGGGATGAAAAGGCATTGAATGCCTGAGAGCTGCCCTGTGTGGGACAATCTGT